GCCATCAACTGATGCCAATCATGCGGTTGCGATAAGCCCTGTTGCAGTACTTTAGTTGTGGATGCTTTTAAGCTGCACCTGGAGATCTGGCGCCGACAACAGGGCGGCCAGAAGGGGCACGGCTCTCTGCTGCCTGATCAGCTGCCGGCTGGCCGCCTCCCTGGCCAGGTTCTGCAGCGTTCCTGCCGCAGCCGCGCATGTGCCCATGTCTGCGCACCTGTCCATCACATGGCGCTTCGGCAGTGCAACCAGATAACTTACAGATGTAGGCATGTCACTTCTGCTCCCCATTGCCCAGTGTCGCAGCAAGCCGGCAGACCCTTTTAGGATAGGACAGCCTTTCCCTCTCACGGAAGTGGCTGACAGCTGTCTGTCTCTGTCTCAGTCTGGGAGAGAGGCCCATATCAAATTCACGACATGAGTCCTGCCCGGTGACGACACAAAGCAGGAATGCTGTTGTGGTGTCTCCCCACTGGGACATCTGCTAAATTGGCCAGTTATCTCCAGCTCATGGCAACTGTGAAGGGTGTCGCTGCTGTGCTAGCACCAGTAGAGCGCACTTGAGCAGGGCAGTGAGCGGGGCGATGCCGTTGGAGCGGCGCGTCATGCGCACAGACTGCGGGTCGGCCGACAGGTTGTGCAGCGCGCCCACCGCACGCGCGCGCACGCGGCCGTCACCGCTGCCCAGCAGCGCCAGCAGCTCCGGGATGGCAGCGCAGTCGCGCGTCGCCTGCCTTCCCCTGCCCTGCACACCAGCCGCAAAATTATTGCCATGATCAGCGGAGAGCAGTGCTGACCCCTTTGCTAATGTCCGGGCACCGATCGAGCCCCCTCAACCCCTGCTGACAAAGTCACTGCTTGGCATGATCCACAATGTTGAAACGGTTAGAACCTGCGCGCTGTGCAGTGTGTTTTCCAGTCCCTTGCCCTCTGCGGTAACAACATCAGGCTGCCCCTGGCTGAGATGCGATGTTGGCCTCTTCTGGGGCAATGCAGTTTTCCGCCCCTGGCTGGAGATGCACACCGCCAGAAACACTGGAACTGGATCTTGCATGCATCTCCGTATGGTGTCATCTGTGTGTGAGATCTGACCATATAGCAGATGCTCTGGATGACGCCGCATGTGCTGGCTTGCACATCCAAGTCGGGACTCTTTAGCAGGGACACCAGGGGAGCGACGCCGTTGCACTTGAGGAGCCTGCTCACGTTCGCCCGCTCGAAGCACAGATTGAGGATGACATTTGCACACTCGGCCGCCACTGCTCGGCTGGGACCGGTGAGGTGTCTCACTATGGCGGCCACATCACCCTCTGCAGCCTTCTGCCGATTGGCTGGCTTTCTAGAAAGTATCCTCAGCACCTGGGCAAGTTATCAGAACTGCATTTGGCATGTTGGAGCTTGTTGGAAACTCTAGATTGAATGGCTTTTGAGATGAAGGGCCTCCATGTAAGTCAAATCTGCAGCTTAGTATTGTCTCTTTCTCAAAAGATTGGAGCGGAGCAACCTTCAAGATTAACAGCAGGAACTCTGTCTGCTCGGACTCTGGTTGTTCCGCAAGCAGGGAGCTCAAACTCGCGATGTCCGGCGAGGTGGTGCTGGCATAGTTGGGAGTGAATGGTTGGTGCCGGAGGATATCGATCAGCCATGAAAAAGTATCACCGCTATCATCTGCCTCAGCAGAGCTGCATGCAGACGTTACGTCCGCTCTAGCAGCCACGAATGCTCGGAACGACTCATTAATGCTATCAAGAGACGAAACATGCTGTTCTCGAAGTAACCGGATTATGTCTTGGAGGTCCTGCACATGCGTGCAACCTCAGTGTGCGATAGAGACGCGTTCAGCCAGCGATGTTGTAAGGAGGAGACGTTAGGTAGAAACAAAAGACAAGAAAGGCAATTATGAATTTACAATTTCTAATATAATATACTCGCACGTGACTGTGTGGGTTGTTTGTTCCCATACTGTTGTTGCAAGAGATGCCGGGCTTTGCTACTTGTGAGTTTGATCTTTCTATTACGTCTCCCACTGTTGCAGGCAGCCTTCTTCCGATACCACTCCAAATCTAGTCGTGCTTACACGTCGACCTGCTTTCCACCATCATTGTTGCTATAAATAGACAGAGCAGTACTGCACTAGCAATAGAGAGAGCAGTGCTCACACACAATTTGATACCAGCCATTCAATGGCAAGGTCCATGCTGTAGTTGCACTCCTCCAAAGCCTCCTTCGCTTTTGCTTTGCTGAATCCCATGCCCTGCGATTGCAACACACATCAAGAAGCCTTCCTGCAGATGGTGGCACATTATCATACCCTGTGCAACCAGGTGCATGCTCATAAATTTATTGAAGCAGACCTGGAGCGATGCAATGTCAGCCTGCAAAGCAGTCTCTTCAGCGTCGGCCAGGACACCAGTGGCATCATCCACGTCCATGAAGTCACCGTCTGGGTCATTCCACTCCCTTGTCTTGCCCCTACTCCTCCTCTTGGCACCCCTGCCGGCATCACCAGCCGCTCAACAAGTAGTTGACCAGGTGAATGATCCGGTCTCTCAGAGCAGCCACTGTCCGCACTTGTCAATTCTTGGCCAAAGAGACCCGGCCCACCTGTCGTCTCTACCATCCTGCTGCTGTTGCTGCTGCTCTTCGGGCCCCCGCACCCGGCGCTTGGCGCCTGCCTTGGCCGCGCTCTTCTTCTTGGCCGCTCCTTTGCCACTGCCGCCGATTGCTGCCTTGGCCTCCTATCAAAACATTTTGCAGCTGAGCCCATTTATTCACTTGGTGGCAGAGACATTGTTCCACCTCCCCATGCTCATGTAAAGCCAAGGTGGATGCTGTTCCTGTCCTGTCATCCATGGCAGAAGCAACATTGTGCCCTGGAGTCATGCAGATGCACTTCAGTGTGAGGTTACCTGTGGCGCTGCTGGCGGTACGGTCTGCTCATTTGATGCACGCTCAGCCAACCCCAAGGACTTCCTCCGCTTCACCGGTGTGCCATGCACCTGCACATCGATCACGTGCCTCAGAAGGACAAAATCCACCCGCATCCCTGTGCAACACATCCGAAGTTCCATGCCATCAGATATTCTCATGCATATCTGCTTGGGACGGCAAGAAACAGTCATTGCTTGAAACAGAGGTACATTAAAAGGTTTTGATGTTATTTGGCAACGCAGCACAGCCAGGGCGGGCACCTTGGTGATGGGGGCGCCAGCCTGCTTGGCAGTGAGCGCAGCAACCAGGCTGGCCAGCTTGCTTCGCAGCCGCTTGAGCAGCAGCAGCTTCTGCTCCCTCGACAGTGCATCCAGCGGCGCCTCTATTCAAGGACATCACATGCAGTGCCTCAAGCATCGTGGTGAAACTCTGTGCTGTCAGGGAATGTCCTGCACCCAGATCGGACGGCAAGCCAGAACAGTGTGTGCCGGAAACGCAGGAGAATTGGCTCAAAGACCTCTCGCACACGAGAATAAACCGATCTAGCACCATTGACGAACAAACAACATGCAGGCATGGACAGGGCAATAGAAGAGAAACCAGCTCCCTGCCTCCACGAAAGCGCCAGAGTGGATAATCGTATTTGTAGGGAAGGCGAGTCTCTATGCTCCAACCCACCTATGAGGTCGATGAGGGGCACATGGCCGCTGGCCAGGCCACTGCCCTTGGACCTGTCCACGCTGGCAACCAGGTCCTCCAGCTGCGCCTCCACCTCTGCCAGCTGCTCAGCCGACAGCCCATACTTGGCCCGGGCCTCCGCCTGCCACTCGTCCTTCATCTTCTTCGTGGGATTTGCTGCACAACATCGATGAATCGAAGCAGCTCTGCCATGCCTTTGCATGTGCTTCTTGTGCATGGACTATGAATTGAGCTTTGCATAATCACTGTTATCGCTTCTGACTCGGCAGTGCATGCATGCCTCATTATGCTTATATCCTGCGGCAGTGGGAAGGTTCATTTGGGGCTACTCACGTCCAGACCAGATGATGAGGCCGCACTTGCGCTCCACGTCCTGTTTCTGCTCATTGTCAGCCCGAATGCGGTCGATGTCCACTTGCAACCCCGTGTAAGCTGCACGACAGCAATTGGTCAGCTAGTCTGTCTAAGCACGTTGTTTACGCATGCATAGAAAACAAGACCAGAGTCGTGCAGTTGGTCTCTAATCAGGTTTCACCTGACAGGGACTGTTGACCAAGGAGACGTTGTGTTTGGCCGTTCAGCTGCTGGATTAACTTTCCAGGAAGCAAACCAGTTTCCAAGATCTGTACCCAGCGACCAATACCGTACTTCATGAGACAAAGCTTCAGAATGGCTGCCTCCTCCTTGGTCCAGCCAGGGGATGGTGTGAAGTTCCAACTGTACCACAACTGTCCGTTGTCAGGCCATAAAATTTGGAAAGGCATTTAGCTTCATGAATATCAAGTGGAGTTTGCTTCGCACAAATCTCGCAGTGAAACTGCAGAGGCCACTTACAGCGATGCGGCATCTCCCAACTTGGGGCCCCGCTTTTCGGGCCTCTCAGTCAATGGTGCTGTGGCCATATCTCGTGTGTAAGGCTTATCAATATCTGTTACTTACTCTTCTGAGGGCAATTGAGCAAGTCATCGGAGAAACAAAAGTGCTTGAACAGCCATCACCAGTCTCTGCCTTGGATACAGTATGCAAAGGTGATGATCTTTCGCTGACAGTCGATTGTGATGTTGACATCACCACTGAGCCTTTTGCTGCATCCCGATGTTGATTTCCGTTTCTGAAAAGCGGCAATTTGAATGCAGTCGTCACGTGCAAGGAGCACGGTTAGCAGGAGTTATCTGTAGAACTCCTTTGCAGGGGCTCATTGGATGTCAGTAGATGATACCGCAGTCTTATTGCCTATCCGTGACAGCAGCCAAGTTTACACGGGGGACGTCAAGAGAACGTCGTGCTCTCAAAGCAGGAATCTACAGGACCTTGCCCGTTTATATTATCAACTTTTTCTTCTGAAGACACCGTCCTACATGACGAATAGCGCGACTGTAGTTTAAGGGTAGAATATAAGCTTCCCAAGCTTGGGGCCCGAGTTCGAGTCTCGGCAGTCGCATTCTCTTTTTTTCTTTCACATTTTCTCCTTGGGGTATGCAGTTGGCAGTGAGACGGCCCTTGAGGCTGTCACGATAAACAGTGCTTGCATTGTATAAAGAAAATTGGCGCCATCATGATTCCCAGCCATGGCCATGTCACATGTCACGGTGTGTTTCAGCCGGCAGCCCCACACTGTGTGTTTCAGCTGGCAGCTGTAGATCTAGCTAGATCTATAGAGGCCTCTTGTAGAGGCCCGGGCCCACAACTCCTATGGGGCTGGCCAGACCCTCCCCCACAAAGGAGGAGCCAACAGCCAAGGGCTCCACTGGTCTTATAGTGAAAATATGTCTGGATCCTTGACGCTGAATGAACATTAATGTTCTTGATATCATGATCACCATTGTTTGGCTAAATCGTTAAAGGATTCGAGATCTCCAGCTGAAGAGTCTCTCTAAATATCTAAAGAGTCTCCGAGCCCTTTCAAGAGGTTGCAAGTGCCAAAATCCTGGCAGTTCAAATTTAGATCATTGCAAAGATTAACAATTCCAAAGAATAAGTTCCCAACGATGAATCAAGCCAAAATTTACAAGGTGAACTGTGCCCATTATGGCAGCACATTACATTTTTCCTTTCTGTTTGCTGATTACTCCAGAGATGTTCCCTGCCAACTCCTCTGCAGTATAGTTCTTGCCATAGAAGGACATGAACTGGCCGTCTGGATCCAGCAAGTACATTATGATGCTGTGATCTACTAGATAATCCTTCGGGTCATCATTTGTCTTGGAATAGTACACCCGGTACGCCTTGGCTGCCGCCTTCACCTACTTGCAGCAAGCGGTCGATCGTCATATTTGCATTACCAATTGGTTGCAAAACTTGCCCAACAAAGAGCTGGTCAGCAGGGGCCAATCAATTTAAGAAGCAAAAGGCAGGACAGTCCCACCTTGTCATGGGGTCCAGTCAGCCCAATGAGCCGGGGGTGAAACTGCTTCACATATGCCTTGACCTTGGGCACGCTGTCTCTCTCAGGATCCACAGTGATGAACACTGGCAGGACCTTGTGGCCTGTCTGCTTCTCTGCAGCATGCACACAGGACGATGAGACCACAGCTCTCTTCAGAGGTTGATTTCAATTGCTGCCCAACAAACAGCACCGCAACGAGCAGACTTGAGCCGCAATATGAAGAGTATGGGCTGAACAGGGGACCAACCGACGGCGTCAATGGCTGTGGCCAGCTTCTCCAGCTCATCAGGGCAGATGTCTGGACAATGGGTGAAGCCAAAATAGAGCAGAGAGTAGTTGCCGCGAAGGTCCTCATGCGTAAAGCGCTTTCCATCTTGATCAAGCAAGTCAAACGGGCCTCCAATCGCCGCGACACCCACAGACTCCTGCTTGCTGTGGATCTCTGCAACGCACCATAAGTTGGGAAACCGGAAGGGCATCTGATGCTTCTGTATAGCTTCAAGAGCTTCCGTAGCAACCACACGTACCTGCGAGCTTCCTTTCTCTCTCATGATTGAAGTACCACAATATTCCTGCTCCTGTACCTAGAGTCAGTGCCAGACTGGCATATGACACGGGCTGCAAAACACCTCATTGTTATCACGCCGCCGTGATGACAGTGGTCCATAAAACTTCACCTGCACATAACACCATCACAGAGAGGAGTCCATCTCACCCCACCCATCCTTGAGGGGCCCGACCCCGCTGCTTCTCCGGCAAAACTCCTAGTGCACTGCTGCGCCCATGAGGGTGCACTGGTGGAGCAACATGCCTGGGCGCCGCAAATCACAGTTTTGGTCATGTTAAGAATTCTGTTGAAATTGCTCGAACCAGGGAAAGGTAACCAAAAACCTGGAAATCGAACAGCACATCAAGAGCTTGGGGGTGGCGATCACGCCAAACAAGCACCTGATCGGCCAGTGCTCCAGATTGATGTGATACAACCGAGCATCTGTTAGCCAGCAAACACCTTCTCGCATTCTTTGCTAACCTTAGAAGCGTTTGTCTGGACATCGTGCCGATGCGTCCGACAGCTCAATTGTGATCTACAAAGCCGCTTCACTTTCTCAGTGACGATTGATCGCAACGTCAAGAAGTACGTATCATGACAATCGAGTTCCCTCTCACTTTCCCAAAGACGAACTGGTGCAGGTGGACTTATATAGTGTCGACGTGGCCATGACTACTGCCACCTGGCGACCTTTACGTGATATCAGCAGGCGAAGACAAGAAGGCTAGCTCGAAACAGAACAGAACGACTCACTTGTGGCAAAAAGTTTTATCTGTAGCATCTTTTGAGGAATTCTCTTGCAAGGCCCTTGCAACCATCTTAGCATAAGATTGTCTGGGTGTGTTTGACAGTCTGCAGAAACAAGAGCACCAGGAAGACAATGACCTCGATTGAGGATCGACCGGAGAGAGATGCACAAGCCACAGCAGGTCCATCGGGTGTGGATCCGGCACCGACTGGTGGCTTCGCAAAACGAAAGAATCGTGGAAATCTTAGAAAACGACCTGCTGAAGACTCTGAGGACGCAGGAGGTACGAATGCAGTGAATCTTCTTCTAAAGTCACGGCGTCATAGCAGATTCTAACATGTATTTTTCCAGTCTCTATTTTTTGCCGGATCCTGTCACCTGTTCTGAGTGGTGCTTGACTTGGATCTACACCACAGGTGGTGGAGGTCCCGAAGAGCCTGCAGTTGTGAAGAAAGTGCCACGGCCGACCAAGTACGCTCCCCTTGCTTTCTCCACAAAAGCTCAGAATGGGGAGAAACTTGAAGTCTTCAAGTTTGAGAGCTCCAAGCAGCTGCAGCAGACAACTGACCAGGGCGCGACACGAATGAATGAAATGGAGACACAGCACGACAGAGATAACAGGCACGCTTCACCTCGGCCACCTCTGCCCCCGCATAGCATGCATAATGTAATAGTGCATCAATCGCGGGTGTACTGTTGTGCTGGTGTCTAGCATGCTGCCTGTCGGCCTGAGCATCATGACCTGCTGAGCTGATGGTTTCACTACGTGGCTCAGGGCCAGGAGAGAGGCAGTGTTGCGGCAGGCCACGGACGGCGTACAGGAAGATGGAATCTACAAGGGCATGAACAACTACACAGATCACAAGCAGGGCTTCCGCAGGGAGCATACCATCGGCAATGAGAAGACGACAGGCTTGCACGGGCCGCTGCGAGCATCAACCAACGTGCGCATGACCGTGCGCTTTGACTACCAGCCGGACATCTGCAAGGATTACAAGGAGACCGGCTTCTGCGGTTATGGCGACGCGTGCAAGTTCGTGCATGATCGCGGTGACTACAAGTCTGGGTGGGAGTTGGACAAGGTGCGCAGCAGCACCACCCGAGCATGTGTGGATGCAGGCTCTTGCATGTGCTTTAGGCTGGTATGTGAAGTGTCAAGGGAATAGGTCTGAGGAAACCTCGACGTTGATGCTCTCCTCCTTTACTGTCATACACCCCGAGTGAGCGACAGAGAATATTGCTTTGCCCTTCAAAATGCTCAACCTGCCCCAATCATGGATCTTGACTCGTGTATGGATGTGGCACAGGAATGGGAGGCGAGGGAGAAGAAGCTGCAGGAGGCCAAGTGGGGCGAACAGGAGTCAGGGGATGAGGAGGACGGCGAGGATGATGGGCTGCCATTCGCCTGCTACATCTGCAGGGATCCCTGGGAACAGGTGGCCAACCCAGTGGTCACCAAGTGCAAGCACTACTTCTGCGAGAAGTGCGCGCTGGAGCATAATGCAAAGAGCTCCAAGTGTTTTGTCTGCGAGGCTCCCACGCAGGGCATTTTCAATGTGGCCAACGACATCAAGCGCAAGGTCAAGCAGAAGGATCGCAAAGGCGCTGCCTGACTGACTGGCTGCCTGTTGTGACTGTTTGTGTTGCGTTCTAGATGGCGTTAAGGGTATTTTTGTCTCAAATGGCACTTGCAGTTAGTTCATGAAGACAGTTGGTGCGCTGCCATTGTATGGCTGTATTTTGGTGCTAGCATCTCGATCATCTTGATGGTGGTATTGAACATGCCCAGCACAGACCACAGAAGCATTGGTAAGCAGCATGCCATAACAATCACGGTCTTGTCCTTGGGCAAGAGTTGACGGTTTAATTAATACCGGTTGCAAACTACCAGGCCGATTATGGGCCGCCAGGCAGCAGCTGAATCGCGATTACCGGGGCTGAATCAACAAAACCAGGGCTTCTTCAGCCAGTGCATGATTATTGTCATGTATGATTGTCATGCATCATCATCATTTCTAGCATGCAATGCGCATGCACTGGATGGTATGATCATATGATGTATGATCATATTCACATGCTACAAATGCGAGTGGCCATGTTATTGAAGAAGCTCAACAGTTAGCATGCTGCTCCTCATGCATGATTCCACAACTTCATATTAGTGTCCATTTGGTCCCCATTGCCAGTGGCCACTGGCAGTGCTGGTCGAGACGCCCCTCTGCTGAAGGTGCTGTTGACATCAGGTGCAACCGAACGAGGCCACTTTCAGCAGCTGCATGGCACAGGGAATTTGAAGGTCGGGAGATTATGGTCAAATTTTACGAGCTCAGTTTCCTGCATGGTTCCCAGGAAGATTGTGAAGACACGTGGCCGGGACAACCTGGGTATCTTGATGTGCGTCCAAGGAAGACGCCGGATATCTGGCTTTGAAAGCTGCTCTTCTTTTAGATTTTCACATCCGCACTACTCGCTTTCTCTGAAGATACTCTGTGCACAGATTATACACGACACAGCGTTTTGGGCAAGTTGGCGATCTGTCTGGGTCCGCTGTGACGCAAGGGCCAGGAAAACACGATCAGCTTAAGAGCGCTTGTCCAGGGGCGCAACACCTGTAAGGTTACTTCATACGGCACTGAGCACATGTCAAACAGGATGAAGGGCATTGGAAACCCGAGGCCCTTTTTGCGGATTGGAGCTTGCTGTTCCCGGCCCAGCAGTTCTTTTGTGTAGCTTCCAACGTCACACACTATCAGGATA